AGGAGACCTCGATGCTGTTGATGTGCTCCTTGGTGCAGTCCACACGCTGCAGCTCCTTCTCGCTGTGATCATACAGGAAGCGCCCCAGCTCCATGTCACGCTCATAGCTCCAGCCTGGGGGCACGGACCTGCAGGGAGTCTCTGTGTTAATGGGATSAGAAGTCCAGGTGCCCCAAACCTGCCCCAGCATCTCCTGGTCACCAAATCGGCATGGTGCCAGGCCACTTGTCCCTGCAGCAGGCAGATGGCACGGCTGGATCTCATCGCCAGCACAGCAGGTGATGACCACTCCAGCCCAGTGGGAACAGCAGCACACAGCCACTCCAGTGGTCCGTGGAGCAAAGGCCATCTTTGCTTAAGCAGGGTACCTCATGGCACCCATCATCCCCATTTCAGACCCCAAAGCCAGTCCTGGCCCTGTGGGCGTGTCCAGGCCCCAGCCAGCAGCCCCGCAGAATGCTGCAGTCCCGCTTTAGGAAATGCATTCATACCGAAACTTCTGCACCGCGGCCTCATCCTGCTCGATCAGTCTGGGCAGCTCTCCAAGGCGCTTGGAGTATGTCAGGTCCACCACTTGTTCCCAGCTGGAGCAGCACCGGCAGAGGAGTCACACAATGGAAAAGATGTGTCAATGCTCAGTGTAGCCATTATTGCCTTAGCCTGAAGYGGAGCACTGAGGCGACACCCAGGAACAGCTGTGGGAAGGTTGAGTGTCCCTGCACCCAGGCACAGGCTGGGACAGAGCAGGGAAATCCCACCCTGCACATGGCCTTCCATCATGAAAATAAATTTTAAACCCTCTGACTGCTGCACTGCCCCGTGACATTGCTCAGCCCAAATCCAAGTGACTCAGAACGCCTCTGGCATCATGTTTATTCTGTGCAGGCACTGCCGCGGGCAAACAGGGTTAGTCCAGGAGAGAGAATCCACCTGCTCACCGGTGCTCGGCRGGGATGTGTCCCACCAGCACCAGAGGGAGGGGTTGGACTGTGCTGGGTGYGCCCAAGAGATTTGGGATGGTTGGGTCGCATATCCTCTGTGGGGACCGGCCACACTCGTCTCCAGAGCCCAGTCCCTGCCCGGGGCGCAGCGGGCCGGGGCCGTACCTGACAGCAGGTCTGTAATCAACCCCCAGCGTTTGGTGCTGACACTGGAGCCTCTGCACGGAGTCAACCGGGACCAACTTATCTCCTCCCTCTCCGAACCTCTGCGCCAGCACCCAGCCCTCCTCCAGGCCATGGGTGCCCGTGTACTCGTCCAGATGCTCCTGAAGACACATGCCGTCCTGTCACCGCCGTCGGGACGCGGCATGCCCGGGGGGTCCCGGTGCCGGTCCCGCGTTACCTTGCTGAGCTTGACCCAGAGCCCGGCGCCGTTGCAGTACTCCTCGCCGGTGGCGCGCAGGCAGCCGCCCTTCCGCACCTCGATGGTGGCCCGCGCCGCCCGCTTGCCGCCCCGCGCCGGCCCCGGGCTGTCCCACACGCTCAGCAGGCTGCGGGCGGCGGCGGCGGCGGCGGCCGAGGGGTCCTTGCAGATCTTGTACTGCACCTCCCGCGGCACGTAACAGAGCGCGGCGGGCAGCGCCCGGGCGCGGCGGAAGCACTCGCTGCACTGCAGCAGGAACCGCAGCCGGCCCAGCACCTGGTGCGGCGGCTCCCCGTCCGCCGTCATCGCGCTCCGGGCTGTCCCGACCGTGACCCAGCGCTGCCCGCCCCGGAGTGCCCGCCGGGCCGGGCCTTCTCCGGCGGGGCCGCCACTCCCGCCTCCGTCCGGGGCCGCCCCGCCTCGGGCAGCCCTTGCTCCCCGGCTGCCGCCTCCTCCCCGGGCAGGCGCCGCTCCGCCCGTGCCCCGGGCACGCCCCAGCGCTTCTTCATCCTTCCCGGGCCGCAGTCCCTCCGCTCTCCAGCTCCGGGCCCCCTTTGCCAAGTTGTGACTCTTACGCCCACTTCARTATCCGGCAGGAGCTGACGCGGGTTACGGGCATCCCCTTGACCTGTGGCTTAGGATTCTGCTCCCTCCTCCCGGCCTCCAAAACATCTCTACCACTGCCTGCATTCTTACAGGGTCCTGTGGACCCCCAGGTCATGGCACAGGGCTACATCTCCAGCATGGATAGGGAAAAGAGGTGAGTGGGAATCCTGGTATGGGAGAGCCAGCTGCTGGTTGGCATACTCCCACCCTGGGCAAGCCTGCAACAAATGAAGATGCTACACACACATCTTCAGGCTTCCCTAACAGACTTCCCTGCCCAGGAACAGCTTTATCCCAGCCAGCAGAGGCATCCTGGCAGTAGGTGTGAGGCCCTGACACAGCAGCACCCAACCCCCCTGGAACACTGGCAGTGTGTCACCCATGTCTTGTCTGCTTGTTGCATACCACAGCAAGGCGGTGGCACAGAGCAACTCAGCTCCACCCCACGCTACCTTAATTTGTTCAGGTTGGGCACAAAGGGCTGTGTTTAGGGATCATGAAACAAGCAGACTGGCAGAGCTCAAAGGTCCCCACACCCCCTTGGTGCCTGACTGCTCTCCTGGCAGGTCAGAGTCCAGTTCCATCCCTGCCTGCACAGGCACAGTGCAGAGATACAACAGCTGTCCATCCCTGCAGTGTTATCTGTTGAATGGGYGTGACTGAGCAATGGGCAGCTGCCTTGCCATGAACCATGGTGCAGGAGAAATGCAAACTTCTGCCACACTCTTACCTGCAGTAAGCCAGGAAGGTCCTGAGCYCTCCCTCTGCAGCCACGTCACCCTGCACCACAGGTTTGCAGAGCTGCTGCAAAAGGTTGAGCTAGTTAATACTCTTGAGTCACCTCTGTGACAGTACTTTGCGTTCAAGACATCTGCTTCACCTCCAGTTGCCTCTCATGACACCAGTCTTCACTGCTGTTTAGAATCACAGAATCAYTGAGGTTGGAAAAGACCTCTAAGTTCATCGAGCCCAAGTACTAACCCAGCATTGCCATGTTTATCGCTAAACCATATCCCCAAGTGTCACATCCATTATTTAACCCAACACAGGAGCCCCAGCCAGACAGACAAATCATAAGGAAGGTCAGTTAGATCATTCATTTTATTTTAGATTCTACATGAGGTAGGGACAGACAGAACCTGTCAAACTACTTAAGAGTTTGTCATACTCCAGGGTATTAGAGGAATAACAAGAACAGCTACACTACACACGTGCGTTATTAATCACCTGAAACTATTTGATGGCAATCCGGCAAGTTGAAGGCAGGAGAGAGCAAGTGGTTACCTGGAGCCATGATGGCATCAGTCCCTCCCCCAGCTCACCCTCTAGAGCTGCAGCTCTGGCAGACAGAGATGTTCCTCAGCAGCAGAGACACCAGCACCTTCCTTAGGATGGCTTGGACTGACTTGAAAATTGATCTCCACTGCCTTGAGACCAGTTATTGGGGTGAAGACATGCACCTGCTGGTTCCTGGTGCTCAGGAGGACTCTCTGAGCCTGGACCACATGCAGCATGAGTCCAAAGCAGCGACACTTGATTTTTGCCTTGTCAAACACAGTAGGAGACAGTTCCTACCCACAGCTTTAGAGATCAGAGAAGAAACGTGACCCAGCACTGACCTAAGACCTATTTTGRGCCTCTGACACTGGCCAGAGTTTAGCCAGGCTGACCTTTTCCACAATTTGTTGGGCTGTCAGAGCAGAAATTCAGTTTGTGATTGGCTTTAAAACACTACAGATGAGAGGACCACACAAAGGGGATCCAGGCCAGCTCCCCGCTCTCCTTTCCCACCTCATCTTTGCAGAGCAAACTGAACAGCATGATTTGTGGGTTATCCTGGCATCTCTCCACAGCAACCATATTTTCTCAGACCCTTTTACTGTGCATCAGATGTCCTCACTGCTGCAATGGACTCCTCCTCCTGCTGAAAGGGCTTTCACAGGTCTCTCCTCTCCAGTACAACACCACAGCAGCAACTACTTCAATTCTCTAACATGTATATGGTGATAACACAAAACAGACAGTAAAACAGTGGTTTATCTGGTAAAACAATGTTTTTTTCAATATGCTTGCAGGAGTTAAATCCAGACCATCCTGGATGAACCCCTTTCGCCTAGGGCCAGGGTCCTGTTACTAGAAGTAGTTTTTAAACAGAAATCCCTGGCACAAGTTCGATCCCTGCCCCAGAATTTCAAGAAGCTCTTGGACAGCACTCTTCTCAGGAAATAAGAGGTCAGGTGCTAAAATCTTTGCTGGAAGGAAGAGTAGAGCATTGTGGAAAATGTGGGAAAAACTATAGTTGGTAACTCCACRGTCATCAAGTGCTTCAGATTAGGGAGGGCCTAGATCTAAAGTGAGGCAGSGTAAGACTGGAAGTTTGATCACAGTGTCCAGGGCTGTACAAGTCGTGAGCATCTCCAAAGATGAGGTGCCATGATGCTCTTAGTGAAGGATCCCACTACTTGAACCAGGTTCTGCTCTCAGCATCGCCTTGCACAGCAGCTCTCTCCATCATAGAGGGCTGGGGCTGTGTACATGGATAATGAGAGCTGTCGAAGCACCATCTCATCTCTGTGAGAAACCACAACTGTTCTGGGTATACCTCCGTAATTACCTCAGTTAGTCTCTGTCAGCTGCAGCTTCTTCCAAGGGCAGRGGAGCCAGAGGCCCCTGCTCCCCCAGAGCTGATCACCCCAAGCAGCCCTAGATGGCTCCTAACCTGCTCATTCCCACAGGGACATCAGCTCATCCTCCACCAAAGACTTGGGCCATCTTACCCATCCARCCCTGAACCACTTACCAACCAATGATCTCCTGCCCAGCAATAACGAGAGAAGTCAATTTTATTGCTGCTTCTAATTCTGCTTAGTAAATAACRTAAYCTCCAGCWGACCTCCCATRGAGACAAGTGGGTAAGGTYGGAAAAAACAGTATCAATGCTATCCCAATGTCAGTCCCTTTCAGATCTAGRACGGCTCATTTAAAATCCCACCTTSCTGCTGAAGGATCCTTCCTCAGCACTCCTGAGGACAAGCCAGGCGATCAAAGTCCTTTTACCAGCTTGCTCATGCCCATTTATAACAGACACCCTAGGAAGTGACTCAGCCACCAGCACGCAAGAGTATCACACTGGCTCTGCTCYTGTTCCCGTCCACACTGGTGAATCAGTGGTTGGAATCAGCCACAAAGCCAAAGAGATCAATTCTGAGACAACTCTAGTATTTACAGAAAACTTCCTCCAGCAGACAGAAAACCTCGTCCTTCACACCCACCCAGCTGAGCATGGAAGGCCTTGCTGCAGGCAAGGGCTGCCATAAACAGCCTCCCCATTCACCCTGTGCTCTCTCCACTCACCATGATGCAGGAGATGGCAGCACATGCTCCTTYCTGATCCTACATCCTTTTTAGCACAACCCTCCTTGGCAGGTGTAGGAACACAAGTTTCAAAGCAAACTCGTGAAAAAATGACTCTGTTTGCAATTGGAAGTGATTTCTGGATGACAGACTCCTTCAGTAGAGGAGAAGCCATGAAACATTAAGACAGGATAAATCTTAACTCACAGCACCAGCCCTGCTCTAGTGCAGCTCCAGTGACTCTGTGACTCATAGTAGTGGTAGTCCAACAGGCTGAAGATGGAGCTGGAGGTATAAATGTAGATKAACATCTAGTAGCTCCCAGTGCTAGCCAATGACTAGCCCTGCCCAGAGCTGGAAAGATGCACGAATGTTTCCAATGGTCTTAAAGTTATAAAGGTTTCATTGCCCACTCCTCACTCACACAGCATGTGTCCATCTGCTCAAGGAGCTCCAACTCTTGGTACCCAGTTTCTACACTGCCCTAGGGCAAACACTTCTCTTGTTCCACCTGAAACCTCCACCTCCCTTCCCATGGACGAGGGGAGCAGAGCCTGGTGCTGCCATGCCTGTTACTGTTCTAACCTCTGCAGTCTGGAAGATGAACTYGGACCTGATGGCAGATTTCCACAAGAACTAGAAAAGATTCATTTTACTACTGGCTTTCAGGGGTAAACTGAGGCTCAAAGAGTCTGGGAGAATAGCTGCCAGGCCACCAGCATGCTGGATGAAGAWCTAAAAGAACAAAAGGGAAGCAGACAGTTCCCACTCACTGTGAGGGAACAACTTCCCCAGCAGTTGTTGCTGTGCAAGAGGTCAAGGAACCACAGGACCTCAGATTTTGTGTGATGTAAAAGCATGAGAATCCCTTTGGAAGCRCCCACAGTCCTGCTGTGCAGGTCTGTTCTGACACCTGGTGGCCAAAGYCACCCCTGCAGCACCTGCCACCAGCCTGCCCCATTCTTCTTAATCCTGGCTGAATGATCTGGTTTCCATTGACCTCATGCAAGAGCAGGAACAAGGGCAAAGGAGTGTGATCAGGACACACCGAGCATCTCAGCCACCCTGTAGTCTCAGCAGCAGCTCAAAGCTCCCTGTCTTGTGCCCTAAGCTGCTGTGCTGCTTTGTCTCCCTACCCCACTTTTGTTTGAGCAGAGTGCAGCCTGGAATGAGTGAGAATTGTGGAACTACAAGAACACGTGGAGAAGAATCTCATTACAAAAGCCTACCAGACCTTTCCAACGCATGAGTGCTCAGCCAGGGTTCCATCACTGCAATCACATTCACGCATTTACAATCCGAGCTAGCTCCCACCCTGCTGAAGACCCAACCCTCCATGTCCACTGCTGGGAGCCAGGCTTCACACCTATRTATTTATTATATATACACATCCCGTGGGGACAAGGGAACTCTTTCCACTGCATGGCTTTCTTGAACGATTGTCCATGCTGCTTGGTCAGGCTGCAACATCACTCTTCCCACGGACTCATATCTGTGTCAATGGCCACGCAGTTATAGGCAGCATAGCGCAACTTCTCTTCACATACCTTGGCTCTAGGGATGGCAGGAAGGAAACAAAAATAAAARATAAGGAGGAGCTGCCACTGCTGCATTTGCAGTTGTGAGGACAAGATGTTTTCTGAAATGGAAGATAGGCTTCACCAGGGCCTCACAGAAGGAAACCCAGCAGCCACGTGGGACAGGCAGGGAACGTAAGTGTGGCAAAGGGATGAGGCCCTATGGGTCAACACCAAGATTAAGAMGAGAGCCCAGAAACAAAGTCCCCAAGACACGGGGAAGCACCAAAACTTACGTGGCATAGTTGGGCAAGAAGAGAGTGCTGGAGCAGGTGGATGACTCAGGCAAAGCATCTGTGGTCTCTGAGCTGGAGAGAAAGTAACGAACTGGTTAGAACCAGCAGGCCAGTGAGGCAGTGGAGCCCAGACAACACACMCCTTTGGTGTGGGATCTGTCAGCCTTGCAGTCTACAAAAGAACAGACTTACCCCATCTTGTCTGGATAGATGTAGATCCGTGCTGGAAGGCGGCTTCTGCCAGTGACAAATCTGAGGAAGCGACTGCGATCCTCTGTGAAGGAAAAGCAAAGACATGGGCAAATCCTAGAGGTATATGAGAAGTAGAGCTGCTTCCAGGTATCCCCAGCACTAGCAAGCACTTTCTTCTGCCTAGTTGCTTGCTTTCCTTGGGTGGTTTCACCCTCCCAGCTCCCAGCCTGCAGGCAGGAGCTGTCACAGCACAAGATACACAAGGAYAGAGCAAATTGCTCACCATTGGTGAAGTTGTTGAGTGCTTCCCAGAAGTACTGCACACGGGTGTCCTGTGGCTCAAAGTCCTCAAACCGGGCTGTCAGCAAAGATACAGAAAAGGAGTTTAATAAAGGTCTGAGCTCCTCCATCTTTGGCAATGCAGGAAGAAACCTCTGGGTGCTGGCAAGGTGTGATTACATAGACCCAAGGTGCGAGGAACACATATAGTCAGGCTCCTCTCAGGAAGCACAGCCAAGTCCACATCTCGGCTCCAAGGGGCTCAGATACTGGCATGCTAGGCATGACCCAGCCTCTACTCTGAGGACCAGCATAGAGTCAAGGGACACCCCTGCCCCTATCAGCACCCAGCTAAAGGCAAGAAGTACACAGGCCCATATTCTCACTGTAAGAAAGGCTAATACTGGCCTCCTACACTTTTCCTTGTGCCAGCACAAGACGGAAGTCTTGTTTTCAGAGTTTTCAGCAAAAGCCTTCTTACTGTGTCCACTTACTGAGCTTCTTCAGGGCATCAACCGTGACTTCTGGATCTCCACAGACCTTTTTTTCCAGTTCCTGCCATGTAAGAAGGTCAAGAACAGCTTGGGGCACCACCTTCAGCAGCCCAGCCTGCATGGCCATGATCTAAAAAGGAGACAAGGCAGGTAAGCAGCACTTCCCTGACCCATGGTTGAGCCTAGGTACTCTACTGAATTCAAACCATGTGATTGCTCATCACATGCTCCAAGGTATCTGAAGAAAAGGGGCAGGATCCTAGAGACATGCATCCCTGTTTATTCAGAAAGCCTGTGTCAGAGCTGTGAATAAAACCCCCTCTCACCCATGCTAATAAGAAGCCACTTCGATTCTCAACAACTCCATAGGATCGAGGACCTCACCACAAGGGCTGGATACCACTGCCCTAATGAGCACAGGGACACTAACCACGGTGCATTTTAACAGAAACAGGTTGGGGACATGTCTCTGGAAGCTAACGACTACGGTGGGCCAGTGTCACCTGCTCCTTGCTCTCCTCCAGCCGAGCCTTTTGCACCAGGCGGATGAACTCCTTGCGGTCCTCGTAGCRCACGGCGGTGTTGCTGCCATTGGGGATCAGCTCCACCATGCGCTGGTCACTSAGCACTGTTGTGTAAGTCAGCTCATTCCCAAATTTGAACTCAAAGGTGTCTTTGTCCATGACTTCCATCACCTCCAGGAGCTTCACCTGTCCAGACCCCAAATAAGTGCTTGTTAGAGAGATGGCAGGTGAGTTGTGACGGGCCCAAGCCCTCATCTTCTCCTTTCCCAGACAAGTGACAGTGATACACCRTGGGATATGCTGTCCTAGAGCTGTTTAGCAGACCCTGGGCCATTGTACATTTGAAGCAGCAATCAGCTTGGCTGCATCTCTGTAACAGCATTTGGTGCGTCCTACAGCTAAGAGGTGCCCTTTGCTGTGTTTCTCTGACATATCATAGGAGGAAGCAAATACAGGAGGACAGGGACACAAATCACCACCTTGCTGAGTGCCACAAGTGATAAGGTAGGCACAGCCTCCCAGTCCCTCTCACCAACACAGAGTCCACAGCAGGGAAGTCTTTGTTCCAGCTGACCTCTTCYCCCGTTAATTGTTTCCATACAAAGCCAGGAAGAGCCAGGACCTGAAGAAGAACGGAGATTTTATTGAGTCTGTGTGAAAATGAGACATCCCCAAAGATGGAGATAGGGCTCAACAATGCAGACACAAAGGAGCTTCCCTGGTTCCCCCTCCACGTGTGGAATTCGCAGTAGCTGAGTAAAGACCAGACACCATTTCCCAAGCTCTCAGCAGCATCCCCCAAAACCTAGGCTGTGAGTTCTCCAAAYTGCTTGGCCCCAAACACCTCTTGTCAGAGTCTGTGACCACAGAGCATTCCCACACTCCTGCTGTTGGACAGGCTGCAGGAGAGGACTAACAACTCCCTCTGCAGCCAGTATCCTCACAGGGACAGGGTTGAAAACTTACCAGAAACTCTTTGCCCCTCAGAGCTGCTCCCATGATCTGCCCGATCCACTCATACTTTGGGAAGTCTTTACAGGAGGGGTTGGGGACATACATGTCCCTGGCTTCTCCAGTGCCGTTACCCTGCAGGAGTGGGAGGCAAAACTCCAAGTCATGATCTCAGCTGCGCAATTCTCACAGCAGAATTGGGCTAAACCCCCCATCCTCCATGGCAATATTCCCAGTGAGAGACCAGTATCTGACAGACACTTGTCAGCATATTCTAAAATGAAATGCCAYAAAGCAAATTACCCAACCCCTCACAAAGTAAAGCTGTGGACCCACAAAAGTAGGTATGTCCCTGGCATGCAAGGGGACAGGGACAGYACTGCATTGCCAGACACGGAAGGATTTGCCCCAGACATCCCGATGCACAGCACCTGGTTGGACGTGCGCACAAAGAAGGGCAGAGGCACGGGGGTGTCTGCTGAGCTGGGGCACAGCTCCTCTGACATGTCTGCCAGGCTGTCCCGAAAACCACCACCTGCAACCCCAAAAGAAGGGCATTTTTAGTGATGTGAACTCCCCATATGCTGACCCTCAGATTTATGGAAAAAAGGAATTCTAGTCCAGTCTGGCTCTGGGTTGAGCAGAAGACTCGTATTAGAGCTTTATGGTACTGGAGGAAGTAAGACAGGAGAAATAACAACCCTGCCTGGCCTGTGGAGAACAGTCAGAAGGATCATTTGCATGGGTAAAGCTGCTGTTAGTGACTAATGGAGGTCTGGTCCCCCTCCCAGCAAACAGGATTCCTTATATGGGACACAGCCARAGGTGGCAGGATAAGGCAACCTGCCTTCCCTCTGTCCTCCACGGGAATAAACACTGGGAGCAAACAAGAACCCCTACAGTAACAGTCACCTCATCAACCCCTGACCACCCCAGAGGAGCCCTGGCCTCCTGCAGCCCCTACCTTGGTCGATGATGCCCTCTGCGATAAATTTGCACTCCCACCACTGGTCATAACGCAACGGCCACCTGTGGAGAACCAGGCATAGCCTGAGGTGCTGCTCAAAGCCAAGGAGGTGCTGGGAAGGCAGCAGGCACAGCAGCAACACCAAGGGACTAGGATGGAGCAGCCTGGGCTTAGGACAGGACAAGATCTCAATCTCCAGAGACAGCTGCATCCTCGGGAGGTGACACCTTGGAGAACAGGCCTGATCCCATGGCTGAGCTGGCTCCTGTCCCAGCAAACCCACTCCTGAGTAAAGGACATGGGCTTCCCAAACACCCAGCTGTGACAGAACACAGCTCCCAGCACTGCACTGTGCCTTCCCTCCCCCAGACACTGCTTACCTATAATCTAGAGGTTTTTCAAATTTGTCTGAGGGTTTCAGGCCTTCATATACCTGCAACAAGCAGAGATGATCAAGGYTGGTATCCCCTCTCCAGGAGAACTGCTGCCAGGTGAAGGCAGGAAATTGGAGGAAATCTGCTTTGCTCAAACACATTAAGTACTGACCAAAGATGACCTCTAAATGGTCTAAAAGCCTTTCATTTTTGGAAAGGGAACACTAATTACATTGTTACSATTGCTGGCCTCAGAGGTACATCAAACACATCAAGCCTCACAGCAGTTTGGGGTGTTTGTGCACACACAGAGCCCCAGATCTCTTGGAGGTGGGGAGAGAATGCACACAGCATTGCTGTGAAACCACAACACAGGACTGTATGCAGCTGCTTGACTGTTGTCACCAAGAATTCTTTGCTGCCTTTTTAGTGCGACAAGATTGTTACACTCTCCATTAACAACATGCCACAGAGAGCATCCAGCATAGTGTACAGATTTCAACTTAGAGATCCCAAATCCCCCCTAGATGTTATTCCCGGATATGGGATCATCAGCACATCTAACTATAGAGCTGTARGTCATGTGAAGAGGCCTTGAAGGCTTGGGCATTCTCCAGCTCCAAGCTGTCCCTTCCACTCATCTTTATGCAGATTATTTTGATTTTGGGATGCCCTACTCTCCTCAGAGCCTGCAGGGACCTTCCAGGAGGTACAGTACCTGGGTGAAGACAGCATTCTTGCAGCTGGGGTCCAGGGCAGGGTTGTCCCGGTGCTCCATGGCCAGGCGTCGGTTAATGTAGAGYCTTGGCATGAAGTTGGGCTTGCTGGTCTCAGAGTCCTTCAGACACTGGGTAATGAGAGCTGTGCGCTTCTTGGACAGCAGCAAGAACTGCTTGATGTGCTGCCAACAGGGATGGACAAAACATGTCACCTATTTCCTGCTGAAGCCATCACACCTCAGGGTTTCTCCCTTTTCCAGGGCCTTCYAACACAGACACATTCTCATTGACAATATTTGCTCTCCCTCTGCCTCTGAAAGATTCTGCATTCTGGCTTAAGGGAGAYAACAAGCTCAGCCCTCAATCCATCAGCTGTCATCTGATGCTCACACTCCAGCATTGCTAAGACTCTCCTTTACCCTCACTCTCACCAGAACACTGGTCCTGCTATCCCTTTTATTTGTAACCAAAGCCACTTCCCCTACACAAACAAGATTCCTCAAATGCTTTGGGTCATGTGTTGATCTGGCACAGGAATTACAATGCTTGCTGACACTAGGCCTGGAAACACACAGAATGGGGCCACCCCAGTAATGTCCAGCAAGGGCATTCGTGGAGAGGATGTAAGAAAAACAGACAACTGAAGGGATGAACTCAGCACTATGCAAAGGATGAAAAGCAAAAGCTTATTAAAGCCAGGAAAGAAATTACTGGTAAAAGCCTTGATGTTTGGACAAGCCAGCTCAAAGCTGCTGGCAGGAAGTGCAGGAACAGAGTGTCCTGGGCTGAGATTTGGAGGGGATATGCATCCAGCTTGCGTGCCCAGTGCTGCTATGGTCCAAGTCCCTTTGAGGGTGAAATATTCTGGTCTGATTTTACTTGTTACCCCACAGCTACATGCTTCCACATCAGCAGTTTTGCAGGAAAATAAGCACTATCACCTTTCACAGTGTTAATGACCTGAGCTTTGACGGGTATTTCCCTCCAGCTGCTTTAAAGGCAACAAACCCTGGCCTCCTCCCTTGCCACAGCCCAAGCACCATCGCCCTACCAGACTGAGGACCAAAAAGACCCAGAGCCAACTGCTCACCTTGAGTTTGCTGAATGTGCCAACAGTGTGGTCCCAGGCTGGAACCAAGTGATGCAGCACACTGTCCAGGAGCTTGATGAACCTAAATCCCATAGAAGAAGGTATTGAAACACAGGAGGGCCGGGGATCTGCACAAGCCTATTCCAGACCACAYACCCCTGAATACAAGCAGCAAAATAACTGATCCAAACCAAACCCAGCATAGATTTTACATCATGGAGTCTTTGGTACTAAATTCCCACTTCCTGGGCACTGCAAGGATCTTGTACTCCTTATAAGGGACTTTGCATGTACCTGCCCCCGATACCGCACAGCTACCTTGTGCTTGTGACATGCAAGATACTGTCAACTTGAGCAACAGAACTCCTCTGAAAGCATAGGGGAGCCACTACAGAGAGCCCACTTTGTTCCCAAATGACTGCTGTTTTCTCCAGTGTCCAGAATGTCTGCYTCAAGGGACTCTCACAGTTTTACAGCTCCTAGCCATGCACATGCTGGAGATGGCATCAATCCCTGCAGGCAATGGCACCTGTCTGCTCCCCTGCACGCAGTACCTTTGAATGAGCACGGCCCGTCGGTAGAGCAGGTCAGGGTCAGTCCCTTCTAGGCGAGGATAACGCACCAAATTGGGCAGCTGGAACATGTCAGCACTGAGCCCCAAGTCCCTCTGTCGGGAGGATTTGATTTTGATGCCTCGGATACGAACATCAATCCCATCATCTGCCAAGGAAGACCATAGATGATATGCTAAGATCACAGRAAATCAAGCCTTAAATAAAGTGTGGGAGGTCTATAAGCAAAAACAGTAGGAATGTACCAGMTCCACCAGCTCTGCGACTGGGCACAGAGAGCCTGAAATACTCTGTGAAGAAGAAGCAGTGCATTTACAGGAGGAAAAAAGTTAAATAATTGAAAGCAGAGAAAGACAGGATGAAAGCTGAGAACTTGCAAAACTGAGAAGAGCAGTTTCCCATGGTTCCACTGCATCTCATCTAAAAGAGTCCACAGGGAAAAGAAGTACAAGTCACAGAACAATGTACAGTACCTTAGAGGTGCATTATAGATGAGGCAACAACAGTCAGTCTTACCTCTGCACTCCACAATCCGGATCTCGATGACAGGCAGGTGTGTTGTCATGTCCTCAAGGATGCACACATCCCCAATGTAGCTCCTGCAAACACAGCACAGATGAAGACTGAAGGGCTGTTCCCTTGCCCATCCTGCCAAAACCCACTCAGACACTTGTAAGGGAAGAGGGTTTGCWTCTTTTGAAATGGGAGCTTATGGTAAGAACCCAAACCCAGCTGGCTACAATACAGCTGAATGCCTGAASCTGCTGGTGACTCAGGTCCAGGTGCCATGATTCAGATTTGTCCCACAATCAGGAGAGCCCTGACAMCAGTACCATGCTATTGCAGGAGAGTGAACCCACATCCCAGAGAGCCTGCTTGGTGCTGCATGACTGCTTAAGGCCAGTATTCAGTACCCTGGGCCTCTGCAAGATCCACGCCACCCTGTGCGCCTCCACCCACTCACTCATCAATGCCGACGTCATTCAGTTTCTTCAGATTGTCCCCCTCGCCACCATASACAGCAACCCGCTTGGGCATGAAGTTCTCATCAGTGGTATCCACTGTCAGCAGCAGCTTCCTGCAAAGAGAAGCAGGACATGAGGAGAAGGCAACTACACCTGAACACCCATCACTGCTCCCCCTCATTGCCTGGTCACACTGTTACCAACCTGGGATTCCCTGGGTATCTGTGATAATGCTAAGACCCCATCAAGCCTAGAGCCAGAGGAAGGTCTGAGCGGCAAGAAATGCAGGGCAAATTTGGGCCATGACATCCAGGCAGAGAGGGAGCAGCAAATCTTGCCCCAGTCACTAGACAGCATGTAGAACAGAGATGACTCACTTGACAATGGTGCCTTTCTTCATGTTGAGCCGCACCCAATGCTGGCCCTGGGACCCATCACTCTCCCAGTATGTGTCAGCGTGGCTGTCAGTCAGGCATGACACATTGAAGTCTTCCTGGAAGAGGGCAAATGGATGAAAGGAAGATCAGATGGGGCTAGAATTAGCTTCTCTTCAGTAGTTACTTTCATCATTTATCTCAGTGTCAAGGGGCATCACACTGGCCTGTTCCCTTTGCTGGGCTTTGGGCAAACACCAGGAGTGCAGAGCACACAGGACACTGGGGTTGACCCTCTGAGGTGCTCTGGGGTCACAAACACACAGCACAGAGTATCAAGCCCTCCCTAAAATCAGTTTAGCAGCTAATATTAGCATTAGCTTCTCAAACCACTGTCCCTCCAGGGGCTACATCATACAACATGCTGCATGATGCTCCCCACTTTTCTCCCACATCCTCAAAGAGTCCAGACCAGGCCAGTGCAGCACAACAAGCACTATCCATGCTCCCCAATCCCACGGCATAGTGGGGCTGATGCAGCCTTGCCCCTTTAACCCACCGTGTATGACGAGACATCGATGCTGTCCACATACTGCTTAACGCTGCCCAAGTTCTCATCCTCCTTGCCAATGTGGTCATATAGAAAATGTACCAGATCTTCATCACATTCGTAAGTCCACGTTGGGGGCACAAACCTAGCAGGGAAAAAGGATTACTGGGTCTGGAGAGCCAGAGGAAGCCAGGCTAATGGGTCAAAAAAGACAGRTCCAGGTCCTGCTTGTTTGGTCTTGCTCTGTTTCCTGCTTTTTGCAAGCATATCTAGGACAAGACTGTGCTGTGCAGAGCTGCCTGTCTYCCCCCCTCTCCCCCAGGTCTGCAGAAGACAGCTGTCTGGGCAGTCACGGAGAGACAGCAGCTTGTCCCCCATCACAGCAGAAACCAGGAAACAGTTCATACCGAAGCTTCTCTACTGCAGCCTCATCCTGCTCCATGGGCCTGGGCTTTGCTCCGAGGCGCAGGGAGTATGTCAGATCCACCACCTGCTCCCATCTGAAACAACACAGAGCAGTGGAGGGAGTGAGAAAATTCCAGGAGGAACAAGAAGCTGGTGATCGAGTAGTAGCTGTAAGGGGAACATCTGTGTTCGAAGCCCCACCGCGCTCCATCCTCCATCGCTTCCAGCATCATCCGCTGCCCTTTCCTTTCCAACCATGTCTACTCCTTCCACACCCAGCTGGGCATGTGACAAGCACAGTGCCCGAGCCAAACCCGAGTTCACATCCGGCATCCCTCTTGCCTCACTTCCAYGAAACCTGTCCAAGCAGGCCGGGGGTTCCCCAGCCCAAGGCAGGAGGGACCGTGGGGCAGCATCCCGAGCCTGCACGGGGCTGAGCATCTCCTCGCTCCCGGAGACYCGCTGGGATACCGCGGCGGCCCGCACCTGATGACGGGTTTGTAGTCCACCCCAAAGAGCTGCTGTTGCCGCTGGATCCGCTCCGTGGACTCCACGGGCACCAGCCGGTCCCCGCCGTCGGCGTGCTTGCACACCAGCACCCATCCCTCCTCTAGATCGCAGCCGCTCCGGTACTCCTCCAGCTGCTCCTGTGGGGACAGCCGGCGGTCAGGCGGGGCCGGGCCGGGCCGAGCCCTTCGCGGGCCGCCTCACCCGCGTTACCTTGCTGAGCTTGACCCAGAGCCCGGCGCCGTTGCAGTACTCCTCGCCGGTGGCGCGCAGGCAGCCGCCCTTCCGCACCTCGATGGTGGCCCGCGCCGCCCGCTTGCCGCCCCGCGCCGGCCCCGGGCTGTCCCACACGCTCAGCAGGCTGCGGGCGGCGGCGGCGGCGGCGGCCGAGGGGTCCTTGCAGATCTTGTACTGCACCTCCCGCGGCACGTAACAGAGCGCGGCGGGCAGCGCCCGGGCGCGGCGGAAGCACTCGCTGCACTGCAGCAGGAACCGCAGCCGGCCCAGCACCTGGTGCGGCGCCTCCCCGCCCGCCTTCATCGCGCTCCGGGCACCGGCTCCACGGGGCTCCGGTTTACGGCGAACCCCGCCCGCTGACAGGCAAGATGGCGGCGCCCGATGGGGCGGACGTAGGGCAAGATGGCGGCGCCCGTCCACGTACGGAGGAGCMAGCAGCGGGGCAAGATGGCAGCGTACGGCAGGACGGGAAGCGGGGCAGCGGGGGCAGCGGGGCGGGGCAATATGGCCGCGGGAGGAGAGGCGGGACTACGACAAGATGGCGATGCCGGTGGGGCGGGACGGGGGCGTGGCGGGGCGGACTGTGCCGCGTCGGGAGGCAACGGAGAGGCCGGGAAGCGGCGTAGGAGGATGGAGGGTGGCGACCGGATCCTGTGAGTAACCTAGACCGGGCAGGCCTGCGTCCCTTCCTGGTGTGGTGACGGGGGCATGCACCGGGGACTGCACAGGGTTACTGGTGTGGCTCTGGGAACAGCGATCTGGCACTATGGGGCCACTGGGGTTAGTGCTTTGGTGCGGAGATCCTGTTCTGGGGACACTGGTGTGGCTCTGGGGACACTGCTGAGGCACTGGAGTGGCCCTGGGGTTATGGTGCTGGCACCAGGGTCCGGTGCTGGGTCACTGGAGAGACTCGGGGTGCGGTGCCGATCCTGCACTGGCGGGGATCTGCAGGGCCACTGATGTGGTAGTGAAGTTTCTGGTCCCAGGTGGAGGGTTTGGGGAACTTTGTTCCCATGGTCCCTGCGGTTGCCGGGGTCCCCCCTCCCGGGGCAGGCCGGACTCCAGCAGCCCCATGGCGGAGAGGTTGGGGCCGGGGAGGTTGTGGCCGGGGAGGTTGGGGACATGTGCTCTGGCGCCCCGCGTGTCCCGAATCTCTCCAGGCGGGAGCAACTGGTGGCTCCGATAACTTAATCTCACTGGCCCTGGGCAGGGCATCGCCTCTCCCCGGGGGGCCGCGGTCCTCGGCAGGAAAAGGTCTTGTACTGTGGTGGGGAGAATTTATCATTCGTCACAGCCGGCCGCAAGCCCTTTCTGCGGTCAGGGACTGAGCCGCTCCTGCCGCAGGGGGCCCGGCAGGGTACCCAGACCCCTCGTGGGTGACAGCCTGTACCTGCTCTTTGCTCCATAGCCCCAAAGGCTTCCCCAAGCTGAAGAACGACACTTTCCTGCGCGCGGCGCGCGGGGAGGAGACGGAGCACACCCCGGTGTGGTGCATGCGGCAGGCGGGGCGCTACCTGCCAGGTGAGCGGCGGAGGCGGGCAGGGGGTACGGGGAGGCCTCAGCAAGCACCCGCTAACATCTTTGCTGGTCGCTTGCAGAGTTTCGGGAGACACGGGCGACACAGGATTTCTTTGCCACTTGCCGGAGCCCCAAAGTGTGCTGTGAGCTGACGTTGCAGGTGAGCATCAGTCAGGGGTCTGTGCGTTCTCTTCTCCCTGCGCAGATGGGGGTGGGGAGAAACCTTGGTTCTGGCCATCCTGGATGTTCCATTTGCTTGTCCAGATCCTCCATGGGGAGGGAGTTGCAACTCCTCACTAACACTGCCTCTTCCCCTGCGCAGCCGCTAAGACGATTCCCCCTGGATGCTGCCATCATCTTCTCTGACATCTTGGTGGTTCCCCAGGTGAGAGCCATGTCCAATGCTATGGGGAGCAGCAACTGAGAAAGGGGCAGAGTTTAGGGCTGTCTCATTCCTGCTTCTCCATTCTCYCCTGTTCCCAGGCACTGGGCATGGAGGTTGTCATGGTCCCTGGCAAAGGACCCACGTTCACAGAGCCCCTGAAGGAGGTGGARGATCTGCTGAAACTGAGACAGAAGGTGGACGTGACCGCGGAGTTAGGTTATGTCTTCCAGGCCATCACACTGACACGACACAGCCTGGAGGGCAAGGTGCCCCTCATCGGCTTCTCAGGGGCACCAGTAAGTGATGTGGCTCCTCCTTAGGGGTTTCCTTGATGGGCTCCTCTGCTCTCCTGGGGTGACACCAGTCATGACATCCCTAAAGGGGTGCGTAAGTGGAGGATATTCAGTGCAGGAGCAGCTGTGCCTCAGGCTCTGCGGTGCTCACATGTCCTACCTTCAGTACTGTGACTGGGGCTTTGTGTCTTYGTTCATCTCCATCACCTTCCTCACTTCACTCCTTCCTGCAGTGGACCCTCATGTCCTACATGATTGAAGGTGGTGGCTCCTCTACAATGGCCAAGGCCAAGAGCTGGCTCTACCGTCACCCCGAGGCGAGCCACCGGCTACTGCGGCTGCTGGCTGATGTCATCATTGACTACCTGGTGGGACAGGTGGCTGCTGGAGCGCAGGTGTGTCCTGGGGCATGGGGATGGCTAACAGGAGGACAGGGACTGGGGACAGATAGCAGATAGGGTCCATCTTCTGGAGGGAGGAGGGACTGAGGTGCTGCTCTCTATGTCCCRTGGTAAAGTGGTTGAGTCGCYATCCCTGGAGATATTTGATAGACAACTAGATGTGACACTTGGGATATCCAYATACTGGTGGATTTGGCACTGCTGGGTTAACTGTTGGACTCAATAATCTTTAAGGTCTTTTCCAACCTAAAAGAATCTGTGTCCCTGGCAGGCGCTCCAGCTGTTTGAATCCCATGCYGGGCACCTGGGCCCAGACATGTTTCAGAACTTTGCCCTGCCTTACATCCGAGACATTGCCCAGGCTGTCAAGAGCAAGCTGAAGGAGGAGGCACTGCCCCTGGTGCCCATGGTGAGTCTAGGCTTCCTGGATTGACCCTGACATCCGGGGGCTGCTGGAGAGGGGTGCATCCCCTAGAATCTGCTTCTCCCATTCCAGCCTGTAGAGAGGGGTCTGACTCACAGCACTTGCTGCCCATCTCCTCCTTCCCCAGATCATCTTTGCCAAGGATGCGCACTATGCCTTGCGTGACCTGGCCCATGCTGGTTATGAGGTGGTCGGCCTCGACTGGACCATCCGGCCCCAGGAAGCTCGGTAAGAGTCTGACCCAGGGCTCTTGGGCAGGACCCCAGGCAGGGTACTCTGACCTCCTCCTCTGTCCTGAGCCATCCCAGGCCTGGGCATTGCTGCTCCAGAGGTGGGGAGAGTTGCGCCAYGATGCTACAGCGACCAAGGGCTGCACTGAGGGGTCCTGGGTGTCCTATGGTGGGGGCTACAGGCACCTGGCTGCCCTCAGCCTCTGTACCACACGCAACAACTCACCTGTTTSCTCCCTGCTGCAGTGCTCAGATAGGAAAAGATGTCACCCTGCAAGGGAACCTGGATCCTTGTGCTCTCTATGCACCCAAGGTGAGCCATTGCCAGTAATGGGGCTAATTCCAGCCTGTGTTAAAGGCCTTCTGCCTCAGCTTCCCCACCTGCAGTGCTGGCTCATGTCCCAGCAGTCCCCCAAGCTGGCTGGCAGGGGCTGGTAGAGGTGAAATACCCTGGGCTGGATGGGACTGGACACATGGTTTCCTACYGTACTTACAGGAGAAGATTGGCGAGCTGGTGAAGAAGATGCTGGAGGAATTTGGGACACAACGCTATATTGCCAACCTGGGCCATGGTCTCTACCCTGACATGAACCCTGAACATGTGGGTGCCTTTGTGGAGGCCGTGCACGCTCATTCCCGTCACATCAACAAGCACAGCTGAGCCTGGGACCCTGGGGACAGGACTCTGGTTTGGGCACAGTCACCCCTGTGTTGTTGGAAGGCTCACCCCAGGCTGGGCTGCAGCATTAAACCAGCACCTTCTCCACAGCAGCCGTGTGGCTCTGGCTGGGGGSATGGGGAACTGGACAGCCCTGAAGGAGGGGGGCAGTCATGGCACACTGCTGGAGGAGCACATGAGGTCAGGGGAGCCCCTGAGCTGTATCCTGCAGGTCAGGATAGGGAAACAGGGATGGCAGTGAACTGGGGGAGGATGCTTCTCCCTGCCAGGCTGCAGTGTATGTGCTGACAACAGAGGATGTGAGCTTAGAGCACAACAGGCATCTCCTGACAATGGATGTGCTCAGCCCTGTTAGGGAGGGTGGGCTGCCTGAAGCTGGCAGTCACGGCCTGGGAGCTTGGGGCTCACAGCCCACCACTGGCTCAGGTGCGAATGAGCAACATGACATCAACCCAGGGTAGCCCCAAGGGGCTGGGAAACCCAGCAGGATATCCCTGGGGGATATCTGGCAAAGTGGCAGGACAACCTCTGACACTGCACCCTACCACACTGGCTGGGATGGCAACAAAATCACCATRGCCCTCCAATTCCCAAAGCCTCTTTAGGACCATTCCCCTGGTCCTGCAGTGTTCCCCCATGCACGCCTCCCTATCTCCTCAGATCCTCAGGGTCAAGCTTGCCTGGGGCTCAGCAAACCCTGCAAAAAGTAGCTCAGGAACACTGAGTTACAACTCCCTGCCACTCCATCCCACACTCCAGTACACTCACTGTGGTTCAGGTTGGCTGCAGGGTGGATCAAGACATGAGCAGCAATGCTGCCCTGGACAGGGCATGGACAGGGCAGTGCCTCCAACATGGGCAAGGACCTGCTAACACCGTGTGTGGCAGCGAATTGCACCCAAAAGCARCCAGAGTGCCTTGTCCCTGCTCTGTCCCCCTCCTTGGGGCACAGGAGCTGGGTACCACMGGGGACTGTGACACTGCTCTGCAGAAGTGTGGTGACCCTCTGACTTCAGAGAAAGGCAGGAGAGACAAAGGCAGTAACGTTCATCCCTTTTATTATTAAACATCAGATGAAGAGGTCGCACACACACATACACGCACGCACACAAAAAAAAAAGAGAAAAAAAAAGGGGAAGGAAAAAAAGAGAAACAGACTGGTTGAAGACCGCTATTTCGGTGGCGACAGAGACCGAGTACAATTGGGTTCCTGGCCGGAGCGCGGACACAAGTCACTTGCCAAAAAAGTAAACCAGACAGCAGATAACTAGCGCACGTTCTCTAACTACAAGTCACCGCCCAGACCGGCCCTGGCCCCCCCAGCCCTCCCAACCCGCTGGCAAAGAAGTGAACCAAAAGTGAACAGGCACCGGCCCGGGGCTGGAGTGCGCCCCCAGCACCGGGTGAGCCGGGAAGGGCCGAGCGCTGGCTGCACCACGGAGCTGGGAAGGGCGCGGGAGGGCGACGCGGCTGTCCCTCCCTTCCCCTGGAGCCGGCAGCCCTGGTGCCCGCCCAGGCACTCGCATCCTGCACCCTCCCTGCGATGGGCTCGCGTTCTCATCGCCAGCATCCGCGTGTGTTCGAGCGAGCATCGCCCCGAGTTCCTTCCTTCGCTGTCCTCCAGCGCTGGGCTGCTGCTCCTCCGTCYGTCTGTCCRTCCATCCCAGGGCTGTGAGTCGAGKAGATGTTCGCCTCCCCCCCACACCCTTCTTGCTGCTGACGATGCCATGGGAACCTGAGAAACGTTCGCGTGCCTCCTCCTCTTTTTGTCTGTGGTTTTGTGTGGGTTTTTTAAATAATAGTTATAATAATAATAACAATAATAATAATAATAGCAATAATAAAAATAATCGCCCCAGCCCACAACAATTTCAAGTATCCCCCAAATAAAAGACAGAATTATAAATAATTATAACTTTACAATTTAATAATTGACACATATACTATAGTATTTACAGTATCATAAATGCTTTTTTTGTGTTACTTTTAGTAAGCAATCCCTGAGAACAGTTACTTTTACTTGTTTTTATTGAAGTATCTTCACAAATAGAGGAGTTTGCATGTCTCGGGCGGGCGGGAGAAGCGCTCTGCAAAGCCATCGCTTTTGGTGAYGCATGAGGTTCTAGTGTCGCAGGTTTCTTTGCTCGCTTTTTTTTTTCCTTTCTTTTTTTGTTTTTTTGTTAAATTCCCCAYATAATTTTAAAGATTTTTCACTTTGCAACCTTCATATCCCTCCAGCGACCGTGTCCTTCAGGAAAGAGGTATTAGATTTCCAGGTTAGCTTTTGGTATTGGCAAGGGAGGGCAGGGGGCTGAGTGAACCATCCTTTTTCCCCACGGTTGCCTTTTGGTTTGTGCCCAAGGAATCTCTGGATCCTCTCAGTGTGAGAAATGGTTAAATCCAAGAAAGAATAACACTAAAAGGAAAAAAAAAAAAGAAAAGAAAACAAACAAAAAAAAGAAACAGAAGACCAGAACAGAGCAGCCTCTGCCGATGGGGGGGAACGTGATCTCCACTTTCCTTCCTTCTTCTCTCCCGAGTCCCCGTGCTGCGGTCAGACCCTGCCAGTGAGCATGGCAGGAGCCGGGGCTCACCCAAACCGTTCCCGCACCAACAGCATCAGTTTTTTCTTGCCTTTGTAGATTTGTTTAAGATTGTCAATGAACTGGGCGAACTGTATGTGCCCGTCCTGCGCCAGGAGGAAGGTCTCCCTGGCCTTGCTGAGGAACTCGATGAACTCCCCATAGTGCCGTGGGCTGATGTGGGTGAGCCGGGAGTGGGTGGTGTTGATGTAGGCGCTTATCGTCGCGTCCAGCAGCTGCCGCAGGGGGGCTTTGTCGGTGGACATCAGCTTCCCCGAGTTCCTGCGCCCAGGGATGCCGGCCAGCCCTGGCGCTGTCATGGTGCAGCGGCGAAGGATGTCCGAGAGCACYGTGGCACAGTGCACGCTCTTCACCACCAGTGGGATGATGGCCGCCAGCTCGTTTTTGCCCAGAGAGTGGCTCAAGGCGCAGGCCCAGAGCACATCGTTGATGGCCGGGTGCGTGTCCTGGTTGTAGGCCAGGTTGAGATGTGTCATGGCCAACGAGGCCAGTTTGAAGGCTCGGAGTGGGTAGCCCCGGTGCTCCATGTAGCGGGCAATGGTGAAGAGCTGGGTGTAGGTCATGCCGGTGGAGGCGGCGTCGATGACGATCTGGTAGGCSGTCTCGAAGGCGATGTGGTCCTTCTCGCAGAGGGTCAGGGCAGACAGGGCGCAGTTCTGGGGGTCCTTCATGGCGCACTGCAGGGCCAGGGTGCGGGCACAGCTGGCCAGCTCYTCCCGCTGTGGGTAGTCCAGGCTCAGGCGCAGGATGGTGTTGTGGGACATCACTGTGGCCGCCACGATGCTGGTGGCTTCCGTGGGAGTGAACAGCGAGTACCAGCTCTGCAGGATGCTCACCAGGGCCCTCACTCCTGCAAGAAAACACTGGTGTCACAGCACAGCCCTGGAACCTGGCCCAGTTCATGGGGCTCCTCTGACACCCAGAGATAGGGCAAAACCMGCCCGCAGCAGTGCTGAGCTGCTGCCTCTGCCCCAAGAGGGAGCAGAGGGGCACAGGCAGAGGCCAACCTGCACKGCCATGCTGCAGAGCATAGAGAGCACCACTGGACTGGCCCGGGTACAGGGCACCCATCCCAGTCCCAAAACCGGCCACTGCAGCAGTCCCAACCCTGCCAGCTGACACTCTGAGGTACATTCAGTTACCCAGGAAGAAATGAGAGACCCAGGAGAACTCAGATGCTCAGGGCTAGGCATGACCCCAGGATCTCCACACCAGCCCCGCTCCCACTGCATGCAGGCCAGATCTTCCCAGCGCACATGGAACTCACCCACTTCGGTGGCACACGTCACCAGCCACCTCACCATCTCCCGCCGCCGCCAGTTGAGGGTGGACAGGGTCATGCGCATCACCTGTGAGGCAAACTTGGGGTGACTGGCTGCCCTGCAGGGCTCTAGTGAAGCCACCCAACAGAGCAGTGCTCCCCAAAAATCCCTCTGGTTCAACTGGCTCCCTGGCACTGCCTCACCTCCACCCAAACCACAGCGAGCACAGGCCCCAACTCAGGACCATGCAGGGGTCAATTTACTCCTTCCACAGGGGACACTCTGCTTGGCAGAAGGCCATCACCAGCACTGCTGCCACAGTGTGGGGGCAGAAGGGYCACCAGCATCCCCAGCATTATGCCATACCTGGAGCCCCAGTTCCAGTGCCACATTGAGCAGTGTTGTGTCAGAGTTGCTGTCGGCCGGCGTGGCGATCTTGAATGCGTCCTGAGCCAGCTTGAAGATCAAGGAGGAGGAGTGGATGTTCTTCTGGATGGCCTCCAGCACCGTGCGTAGGCGCAGCATGTCCCCTGGGTGCAGGCAAGAACAGTCAGGTGGCTCTCCATCTCCCACTGCCCTGGAGCCCCATCTCTTGCCTGCATCACATGGTGAAGAGTCCCTTCACCATGGCCAGCCCCTCTGGACACACATCCGGAGGGACAGCGATGCTGGATCAGGCCCTGCAGTCCAGTCTAAAATGGAGCATCCTCCCCAGGAAGCGATACATCCTACAGCATCCGTCCTCACTCAAGTTCATCCACTCACAGAGAGGACAAACAAACCTGAGTGATCCCAGACACGTCCTGTCTTTAGCAGACATCTCCAGGCACCTGGATGTTCCACCCTGGCCTCAAGTCTGACAGCTGTAAAGCAGCCTCTTCCCAGAAAAGGAGGGGCTTGGGGAGATGCTGAGTACTGAATGGCTGCAGAAACATCAGTCTTCATCCAGAACATTAGAAAGAAGAGGAAAAGCTGTTTGCTGCACACAGGCAGTCTTGCCCAGCAAGTCCCCTCTGCAAGCCTGGGCAGGGTCACCCAGACTTGCCGCACCTTGGCCCTCAATGTCCCAGGCCAGGCACACAGCACTCACAATCGAGACAGGCTGAGCTATCCCAAAGAAGGGGGTTCATGGCCCAGGGWTGGGCCCAGCGATGCCATGGGTCTCCTGCTACAGGAGGTCATGGGTGCTAGGATACATGATGGCACTAGATGGGGCAGGATCTKAGAAGAGGGACACATCGAGGCACATTAATATAATGATCCTGCATCTAGCTTGGAGAATCCTATCAGTTCCTGTGGGACACAGTGTGGGRAGCGGGACCTTTGGGGTGAGCGCAGACCAGAGATGCCAACATGCCACATTAGGGTCCATCTTAGCTTCTACTCCCAGTCATAGACTGAGCAGATGAACCTCATGCAAAGACAACCAAATCATGCACAGCARTGTGAAAACCCCAGTGCTGCACCTGGACACACAGAGATATCTCGGGTGACTCATAGCTAAAGATATCACCTGCCACCCACCACAGCCGCTTGCACTGCCACAAAAATCCAAGCCTCCCTAAAATGGCTYGCGGGGGCGCGGACAAGAGAGGCTGCAGGATCACACTGGGACATGCTGCAGCAGGGGAGCACCTGAGGAAGGGGACGGTGGGAAAAAGAGATGCACTCCAACAGCCCTCATCCCTGCCATAAAAACCTCACCCTATTAGGCACTGGGAGGGAGAAAAAACCTAAAGGATAAGCCAAGCACCAGTCCTCATCACGGCACTGCAAATCAGAGGCAGGACACCATCAGCTCTGGTAAAGCCGCCTAGAGGAGGAGGTGGCTGGAAGGAGAGAAGAGGCTGCCAAGGCAGTGAGGCTGGAGCTTTCTGACAGCTCATCCCCCTTCCGTCTCACCGGGAAAAGAAAAACCTTCCTCTGTCCAGTACCAGGACATCAGAGGACAGTGGTAACTGCTTGCCTCACTGACCCTCACAGGACAGAAGGTCCTCGCCATCCTGCTGGGGTTGGTTTCTGCTCAGGGGGATGTTTAATGAAAASCCTGTGCTCGCCTTCATAATTGTGCCTGGGCAGGAACCGAAGAGCMCCAAGAGACCAGGGAGGTGTTTCACGAGCCCCTTGCAGCTGGGACCAAAGCRTCCCACCAGCACCACTGATCCCATCTCCCACAAAAGCCACTTGTGGTTTGGTGCACAGGGA